GCGAAGGTTATGCGAAAAACTGTCGCATAACTGTCGCATATCAATTGCATAACTGCCGCATATTCATCGCACAATGCCTTCGCACAATTATGCAATTGATATGCGACAGTTTTTCGCATAATTGTCGCATAATTGTCGCATATCAATTGCATAACTGTCGCATATTTATCGCACAATGCTTTTGCACAATTATGCAATTGATATGCGACAGTTATGCGACAGTTTTCCGCATATCATTCGCATATGGACAGTTATGCGATGAATATGCGACAGTTTTCGCATAACCTTCGCACTTTCTGGAGTGAAAAACTTAGCTTTTCATTGGGCGGTGTGAAAAACTTATCAAGACTTCAAAACAGGGTGAAAATAGATATTTTCTCTATTTTTTATGTGTGAAAGCTTTTCTTTTCTCCCCTTGGGAGCTTTTCGGTTGGTTCTAGGCTACCTTAGTGTAGTCCTCTCAACTAGAGTTAGTTGGGTAGCTGGTTAGTCGGCTATTTAGCTGGTTTTCTAGGGGTTGGTTCAAATAAAAACTAGTCTTGGTGTGAGAACCGTGAGAACCATATTTAATGCTATTTTTAATTGTATATGATGTTATTTTTAATATTACATAGTGCTATCATTTTCACACGCGCTAATTTAAAATTGTGTTGCTATTTTTAAGAAAATATATCCTAGTTAAAAATAGCACAAAACACAATCAATTATAACACTACATACAATTAAAAATATCGGTTCTCACGTTAAGACTTGGTTCTCATTTGAACTACATCCAGTTTCTAGTATGTAATTATTTCTTTATTTATGACAGTGTATCGTTTTGAAAAAAAAAATTAATAGCAATTATATAGATTTAGATTAGTTTGCACACATCATCACTCCATTTCTTCTTTGAAATAAAAGTGTATTCATAACGACCAAACCCCGTGTAAATAAAACTACCATTCTAATAAAATTACACATTCTATATTAAATATAAAAAATTAAAGAGTAAAATATCAGTTTCTTACTAAAGGACTAACTTCTTTTTAGAACACAACTATTTTTAGAGATGTTAAACGGTCCTTGGCTCGACGGGTCGGCCCGTTTAGCCCTAAAAAAAATAGGGTTATGACTTTTTATTGGTAGCCCGTTTAACAGGGTATTTTAAGCCCAGACCGTTTAAATCGAAGCCCATTATGGCTAGCCCAAAACCCTCTAAGGCTGGCCCGTTTAACTTGAGTTGGGCGTTGTAAATGTTTGGAACAAGTAAGTAATATGCTTTTAGATTCATTGTATATTACAATTTTACTATTCCACTTCACATGTAAGTATGAGCTGTAACGGATTATAATGATTTTGAAAGAAAATTATTAACAATATTCTTATTGTACTCCACACCAAAATATTTAAGTCAATCAGAACGACTAATAGGAAATAAATGAGACAAATACATAACACATGAAACATAGTGATTGAATTTATAATGATATAATATCGTAAAAATTTTTAAAGCGTACAAAATGAGTAGTAAAAATTGTAATTGTAAGTAATAATTCGAATATTTTTTTCAAAAAAAAAAAATGTTATTTAAGAGTTTGTAGTGGTGTTCATATATGATGTGTAGTTGTATATATAGAGTGATAAATACCAAATAGCCGTTGAAAACAATCGTTAATTAGTCGTTGTAATTTTTTATAATTTTTATATTTATATTTTTAATATTTTGTGATACATTATTATCATTATTATTATTATTATTATTATTATTATTATTATTATTATTATTATTATTATTATTATTATTATTATTATTATGGCCCGCATAGCCCCTTTAGCCCGAAATCCGCTAGAGTTAGAACTAGGTCATTTTATTGGTAGACCATTCAAATCCGAGTTTTTTAGGTTCGGACCGTTTAGTTCGAAGCCCGCTAGGGCTAACCCAAAACTGCTATGGCTAGTCCGTTTAACATCTATAACTATTATTAGTGCTCATAATACCTCAATATTTTTTTATTTTTTTTATTTTTTTTTTTAAGTTGGCAATAATGTATCCCGGTGATAATGAGGATGTGGGCCGTGGTGGCGAAAGAAATTAGCCATAAATTGGTATTTGGTCGGCTTCCTAATTTTGTTGTCAATTAGTACTATTTTCATTATCTAATAAAATTATAATCCCTGATGAATTTGAACAGACCTCTGGTCGGCTATAATTAACCATTAAAAAATGTGAAACTAAATGATGATCTAGTTGTTACGAATCCCGACAGAATGATACCGTAACAAGACTGTAGCATCTCACAATTAAAAAAATGTTACGGTCCCATGACGGAACCATTCCGTCGGGATTTGTATTCGTTAGATCATCTATCCTGACGGTTACATGATGATCTAACTATTACGAACCCTCGATAAAATAATTGCATAACGAGACCGTAGTATCTTCTGATTATATAAATTATTAACACAACTAATATGCCAACAATAAATAGTGCCCCTCCTAATCCCCTTTCCTCACTCCACTATCTTCTCTCTCCTTGCTCACTACAATCAGTCGTCTCCCCATTAATTAAAATAAAATAAAAATATTAAATGGCGAAGGACGTTGAGTACGCTGAGCCCGCGGCGGCAGAGTTCTCGGCGAAGGACTATCACGATCCGCCGCCGGCGCCGCTTTTCGACTTGGACGAGCTGACCAAGTGGTCGTTCTACAGGGCGCTCATCGCCGAGTTCATCGCCACGCTCCTCTTCCTCTACGTCACCGTCCTCACCGTCATCGGCTACAGCCACCAGACGGACACCGCCCACGGCGGCGACCAGTGCGGCGGCGTCGGAATCCTCGGCATCGCCTGGGCCTTCGGCGGCATGATTTTCATCCTTGTTTACTGCACCGCCGGCATCTCCGGTTAGTGACTGATTAGTCAATTTTGTATAACATAACAAATAATCAGGATTTGATTTGATGGTAATAAATATATAAACAAATAATCAGGAGGGCACATAAACCCGGCGGTGACGTTTGGGCTATTTTTGGGCCGTAAAGTGTCTTTGATAAGGGCCGTGATGTACATGGTGGCCCAGTGCCTGGGGGCAATATGCGGTGTGGGCTTCGTGAAGGCCTTCCAGAAGACGTACTACAATAGGTACGGTGGTGGGGCCAACGTGGTGGCCCATGGGTACAACAAGGGCGTGGGGTTGGGTGCTGAGATTGTAGGTACATTTGTGTTGGTGTACACTGTTTTCTCTGCAACTGACCCCAAGAGAAGTGCTAGAGACTCCCATGTCCCTGTAAGTTTCTCATTTTTAATTCTTCATTTTTTTTGTTAAACAAATATTTACAACAACATCATGATTGATTTCATTATTATATGTTTTATTTATTTATTCACCATCAAGTTATTTAGAAGTTGGATTAAGACTATGTTCGGTAGAAAAATAAGCTTAACTTATAGTTTATTTGATTAGTTTATAAGTTTTCTGCATTCAATAAGCTTTGGTAGGACGAAATTTTTTAAATGACTCGAGATAATCAGCTAATTTTACCAAATATTTTTTTTTTTATCATATAAGCTAGCTTTTCATCTATAAGTTATAAGTTCAAAAATCACTTCTCAGCTCAAAATTTTTTTTGACAATAAAATGATTATACAAAAATTCTATGTTATATTTGGAATAAATATTGAGATATAATTATTTATTTTTATAGTCTAGTTAATAATAGAAGATTTAAATATTAATCATTCAAATTTTATATTGTACAACTATAAGAATCAGAAGAATAAAATAAAATTTAAACCATTAACCAAAATTATAATAAATAATTTAATTTCATATTTGTATATGATATATATACACATATATATGTGTATAAGATTTAATGTTGCGGGTAAACGGGTAGTGTAATCGGGACGGGTAACGGTTTTTTTTTTACCATACCTGATCCGACTCGGGGTTCTGGTGGCATAATTCTACCCGAACTAACTAGAAACCTGATCATACCGGGTTTACCCGACCAAAAATACGGGTAATCCGACCCTACAAGTTTTATTGAGATTCCTAATATAGACTGAAAGTATAAAGTATCATCACACTCACATTATTGTTGGATAATTAAAAAAAAAATAAAAAAAATAGAGCAGGTAACCTAAACACTACAAACAAAAAAGGACTATCTCGTGGTTATTATTACCTTTTGACATTGCATTTTGGATACAAGTGCAGCACCACCAATTAAAACATACATACTAGCATCTATCTAAAAAGATGACAACAACTTGGACCCATCTATCTACGACTTTGCTCTTAAGACGTGAGAATGATTTTAATGAATTTAAAAAAAAAAAATAAAATAAAAATGAAGGTGTTGGCCCCACTTCCGATTGGGTTTGCGGTGTTCATGGTCCACCTGGCGACCATCCCCATAACCGGCACCGGTATAAACCCTGCTCGGAGCTTCGGCGCCGCAGTGATCTACAACAAGGACAAGGCCTGGGACGACCACTGGATCTTCTGGGTCGGCCCCTTTGTCGGAGCAGCCATCGCCGCCTTCTACCACCAGTACATCCTCAGGGCAGCCGCCATTAAAGCCCTCGGATCTTTCCGAAGCAATGCCTGAAATTGATTTTTCGGCCGTAAAATCAATAAATGTACATATTTGATGATTTCGCTTTGCTGTCTCCTCTTTATTTTTCTTGCCTTTATTTCCATGCATTCTAATGTGATGGATTTTCTTTTCTTCTCTTTTAATTCCAAATAAATATTGTTGCAAGTCTTTCTTTTTTCCTTAAGTGTGATGTGTAAATTTGTCTTTGTAATGGTAATGATGTCTTTCATTTGTTTGGTTTTTTTAGGCTTTTAATTGATTTATTATTATCATAATTTGGAGACAACGATTAGTATTTATGATATCAATATAATACGTATATGTTTGGTGCATGTATGTAATATTTAAACATAAGTTAAATATATATAATATTTAAACATAAGTTAAATATATAATGGGCATATTACATTTATAAAAATATATTATTAGTAAAAATAAACGATATAAATATAAATTGTTTTAACTTATTGTTGGTAATTGTGGCCCAAAAGATATGTTTATTGATGGCCCAATATTCAAGCATTTCTCTGGCCCAACCTGAGCCCAGTTTGGCAGCCCACTTTGATCAAAGTGATCTTGACCGTTGTTTTCTTTTCTATAGTGACCTGTTGCCCTAAGTTACTCTCCTAACAATCAGCCATCAGATTAAGAGGCCCCAACGTATTAAAAATCTCAACAGCAGCAATTAGAAAGGAGATTTTCTCGCAGCTTTCAAAAACCCGATATATACTCTCTCTGTTTCTCTCTTGCTTATATATGCATGCACTGGTTCTTGCTCTCTGAATCTCCTCCTGACTCTT